CCTTCCTTACAGGATTAGCCCTGTAAAGTGGAAAAAAACAAAATGAGATTTCTTCCAAGAACCAGTTCTCTGAACTGCTTAGAAAGTTAAAAACCGGTTCTCCCAAATACCGTAGGTGCGAACTGGCTGAATCCCACCACTGAACAAACCTCCAAAGTTTCAAAACAGGGAGTTGGAAGATCAGTTGTTGTTTTTTTTAGTTCTGGGAATTAAAAAAACTCCAAACCCAAAGCCTTGAATTTAAGGCACCTATTTTATCTTTTAACCCTGCTCCAGAATTGATTTCCCACTAGGTGGGGATGGGAGAAAGCAGCTTAAACGACAATCTGAGAATCTGAAGTTTTAGGTTTCTCATTTCATTCCCCCCCCCCACCCGCTCCCTCCTCCAAATAGGGCAAAAGTTTCTGTCACAGCAGTGAAGACATGTAATCAACCATGTTCCTTCCCCTTTGACTCCAGCAAGGTCAAAAAAATTTAAAAGCGCTTCAAATGAATTGCCCATTGCTAATGAAGACCACAGGCAAGAGTGCAAGGGTTAATCTCTCTCCGCCCACCTCACCAAGGCTATTCAGGTTTGTCTGTGCTGCTATTTGCAAGGCAAACAACCACACATATTTCTTGTGATCGGGGAAAATTAATTTCTCCTCTTGTTTGGCCCCGAGGCAAAAATGATGGCTAAAGAAGGTCTGTGCCAGTGGTATAGCTATCCCGCCTAGCCAAAAATAAATTGAAAAGTCAGAACAATCTTTTCCTTCTTGGGCAGCCAGGAAATGTCCTTAACAGCAGAAATCAGTATGAGCAGGTATGAGCCAGTTGAGAGTTCAAAAGGCTGGAGGGAAATAAGCAATCGAAGTTCTAAGATTGCAGTGGTGTCTGCTTTCCAGTCCAATATCTCCCGTCTTCAATCTTTTGGGTGATGATAGGGACATGGCTCCAGAAAATGTATACTCTATGCACATCTGTGGGCAAGAATAATTTGCAGGCAATTACTTGTAACACTAGCATACGGGTATATTTGTGTGTACATTGGCAGGCAGTGAGAAACTTCCCAAACTCAAGAGATCTGTAAAACACCTCATTAGGATTATGAGCCTTTAGATGAGCATGTCTAAACAGTGGCAAGATTTCAGGCATTCCCCAAATTAATTCCTATGTGAATGTCTACATTCAGCAAATGTTGGCCTGTCATTATTCACCAATGTATACTTTTAACCTTATGGCACACAGACGTTTTGAATTGCATATTCAGATCTTCAGCCTGGGAAAGCATATCAGAAAGTCCTATCTCCTCTCTTAATAAATATTGGCTTTTTAGGAGAAGTGTTTGAAGGACTGCAGTCAAATTAGTTATTCTCCCCTACTTCTTTAGTGGGGAGACTTGTGTTGTATGTCTGATCCTTGTCTCAGCTTCCCCATCTGGCTCCTCTGGGGAACTGTGTGAAAAAACCATCACTGGTCTGGAATGTGTCACAGTAAAAAGAGTTGGAGAGGAAAACAATATGACAAGCAAAAGTTCCTTTTAAGCTATCTCCTACTTTCTGTAACCAAATTCAGTGATATTTTCTAACACATCAATGCATTAAATTGAATAAAATCCCATAATCATTAACTTTTCAATTTAACAGAGTTGTGCAATCTTTTGGGGGGGCATGGATGGCTTAAAGATTTGGTCTTCAAGTGGCAGATGGGGAAAGGATTGAGGCCATAAGAGATAAATAAACTAAAACAAAGTAGATGAACTAAGAAAAAAATGCAATGTTCATTTGACTTTTAGTTTAATTTAAATCAAATGTTAAAGTAAATTAATTATATACAATCTATATGAATATTCCTGATCTATATAATGTTGTTCCGTGTTATATTAAACTCCAGCCAATAACCCAGCATTGCCCGGGTATTTATTTATCCTGTATTAGGTTGGAGGCCCCTTGTGGAGTACTGTGAAGCTGTTACCATGGCAACTCCACTGTGCTGTACAGTAGACACCCTCTTAAGGCACAACAGGCTGTATCCTAACACTATCACACTAATGCATACTATCACTGTCAAAAGTACTGTGATTTGACATTATAGATATAATTCATTCCTTTTCGTTTCAGCAGCCCAGGCGTTCCAGAGTTATGCTGGAACACAGACACACAGATACACAGACACACAGACACACAGACACACAGACACACAGACACACAGACACACAGACACACAGACACACCCAGAGATAGATAGATAGATAGATAGATAGATAGATAGATAGATAGATAGATAGATAGATAGATAGATAGATAGATAGATAGATA